GGTTGTTAAGTGCCTTTTCCCCACATCAGTAGAAGCTTCTAATGTTAAGTAGCTATGAATTTTTACAATCTAGGCCTGATATCTTTATTTTATTGTGCTTTACATCAGGGCATGCCTGCACATCACTTGATTCGTGTAAATTCAGCCCTGGTGCTCTCTGCATGGCACATTCAAGTTTTTTTTAAGATTTTTTTTTTCCTCAATGTTGTTGATATAGGTGAAAGTTGACAGAACAAATTGGTTTTCTGTTCAGCAATTCATACACATTTTGCTTTGTGACATTGATTGCAGTCTTCACAATGTAACCGCATTCTTCCCACTCCCTTCCTGTGCTTGCCACTTTCCACCTCTCTCTGTGTCACAGTTGGAGTTACCCCGGAACGGTGGGTGCTGCTGTTCTTCCAAAGAAGTGGAAAGGCATTGTTAACACACTTACCTTGTGCAAAAGAAGTTTGAAAGATGGGGAGAGGCTTAAGGAAATGAAAGTTAGGTTTAATAAGCATAGATGTTCCTACAGGCATCCATATCTTGAGAAAGAAGAGGAGGTGGAGCCCCAAATATAATTTGACTTCTTTATATATCCCTTTGTCAGGGGAGTGGGCTGTGTTCCTGGTTGGAGTGCCCTTGTAGCTAACCTGGGGAATGTTCCATATATGGTTTCCTTGAATCTTGTCTTTCAGGTTTCAGCTTATTGTTAACTATAGTTCTTTTTACAGTCTTGGCTCTCCCCCACCCCTCTTAACTAACTTCATTTTCTCTTTTAAGTCTCCTTTCTCCCTCACCGCTCTTCTCAGAAATTCCTCATTGCTGAAGTTGACTTGTTACCTGCTGATAGAGGCCATCCCTAGAGTGGTTTGAGACCCCCTTCTTTCCTTGTTCCAGTGTTCTTTTTCCTTCTTTCCTAGCTCTTGCCTTCTGAGCTCTATCCCTGGACAGTGCTGCCCTTTTGATCTTGCATGGTTGGTTGTTTTAATGAGTGCTTACCTCCCTGAGGTTCACTTTATAGACCTGTCTATCGTTTGGATGAAAGTTGAGACACAGGGCTGAGTTCAGTTCTGTGCTTGAAGGGTGTCTATGGCCTCAGTCTTGGGGAGTCCACCAGTCTCTGTCATACCAGTAAACGTAATCTTTTTTATGATTTTGAGTTTAGGTCTATAGTTTCTCCCACTCTATCTGTGATCTACCATTGTGATCTCTTTCAGAGTGTCAGCAATGGTGGTTGCTTACCATCTACTCTGGTCTGGAAGTGGTGGAGACTGGGGTTCATGTGGTCCATCAGTCCTTTGGACTAATAGTTTCCTTGCATCTTTGATTTTCTTCACTCTTCTTTGCTCCAGATATGGAGAGATCAATAGTTACATCTTAGATGGCTGCTCATAAACCTTTAAGACCCCACCTTGCTACTCACCAGAGTAGGGCTTAGAATTGGCCTTGGTGTGTCCCCCAAGGCTCTAATCCTAAGCTCCCAAGCCCAGTGACTCATTTTTAAGGTTTTTGTTTATGGCTAAAGCTTTCTTTGCTTCCCCCACCCGTATGTTCTACTATATTCATGGATATATTTGTAGCACATAAAGGAGCTCTGGTAGCGTAGTGGTTACGAATCAGACTGTGAACCTCAGGTACAGCAGTTCAAAGATACCAGCTGTTTCGTGGGAGAAAGATGAGGCTTCCTGCTCCTGTAAAGATTTATAGCCTCGGAAACCCTGTACAGAGTCGCTCTGAGTTGGAACCGACGCTGTGGCACATAACAACAACAATAAAATACATATGTAGAAATAACCTCTGTCAGATCGATGTTGTTGTTAAAGTGTTGTTGAGTCAGTTCCGACTCATAGCAACCCTTTGTAGGGTTTCCAAGGAGCAGCTGGTGGGTTGAACTGCTCACCTTGTAGTTTGCAGCCCACTGCTGATCCTGCAGTGCCACCCCAGCCTGTCAGATCTGTAGACTGGTATTGAGGATATAGTCTCATTCCGCTTCCCACCCTAGTATATCCACTCGTAGATTACTGTTATTACTGTTATATGAAGATTTAAGCCTGTGGTCTTGCAGTCCCTCCTATTCATAAAAAAAATCCACTAATTTTACAATTTGCTTCATGAAAACCCTCAAACTAGTTTGTGGCATTGGATATCTTATCATTCTGGGAAGAAATATAGACTTTAAGTAAAGGCAGTGGCAATTTCACATAGAATGTAATTGATACATTTAATAAATTTCAATCAACAAAAACTAAGCGCTCCAATTTCCTAATTAAAGTAATACATTTAAGTGTTTTCTCTGCTAAAATGCAAGTGTGCTTCTTCCTTTCTCCTTGGAATACATTGACGTGTATGCACATACTTTTCTAACAGCTGGCAGAATGTTTTCAAGTACACAGGTTACCTTGTATGATTTAAACAAATTACTCTATTTAAATAAGGTTTGTTTATATGTAAGTCATGTTAATAGTAAATTAAATGTAAGATGAAATAGATTCCTTCTGATGATTTATCTAAAAATATATAAACTTTTATTTTAATTCAATTAGTAAGTTTTTTATTTGTACCATAAAAGTATACTGACTAGTTGTGATTTAATTTGGAAAGTTTACTGATGATTTTATTTGGGGATCCATGAGGGAAAGCAGTTTGTATTTGCTCAGTTCTGTGTTTAATGAATGATTTTGAAATGTTTGAAAAGGGTAATTTTTGATTCTGTGGAAAACTTTATTCTACTGATATTTAAAATTTTTTATTTTGGTTAAGTGCTTTTGGGACTTTGGATTCCCCCGCCCTGCCCCTTCTCCAGGCAGAAAATAGTAAATTTGCTCTAACTGGTTCTGGAATTAATTTTATCATTTTAAAGCTGTTGAAATCATTTGTGGTGTTTATTTCTGAAAAATTTATCAGCAAGTACATTTTTTATAAGTAATATTCTGTGTCATGGAAAATTTTCAGAATAATTAATGCAATCCTGAAAATTACAGTCCTTGGAAAAAATCTATGCTTTCAGTCAAAATAAAAAAAAAAATTTTTTTTTTTACATAGAAACCATTTTTCATAGCATGTTTTTCTTTCTCTTCATTCTTCTTGACATTTGTAAGAAAAGCCAGTTAGAGTAACTGAAAGTTTCCTTTGGTATAGTATCTCTAAGTCAAAACCTTTGTAATCTGAGTTTGTTCTTGAGACCCTGCTTTCTAAACTCAGATTGTCAGTTACTAAATTCGTACTATAGAAAGCGCATGACTTGCTAGAAAAGTCAGAGTTCCATTTGGCTACTGTTGCTTCAGCTAATAGTTTTTTCCTGTTTTGCTGTTGCAGTCCTTATAAGTACTAATGCAACGTGTTGCCTTGGTTAATAAAGAACAAGAGAATATTTTCCAAAAGCTAGAAGAGTAAGTTTTTAAATGACACCATCCAAAATCTGACTGCCTTCCCCAAAGATTGTCTCTCCTTGGTTAAGAGATATAAAAGTAGGCGCTTATCAAATGTATTTGAACTGTGTCTTATTTTTAGTATGTCTTAGTCAATAGGAGCAGATCTATGGGTGCCTAGTAGGACATTCTGATAAAGGGCTGAAGGACAGTAATATCTCAAGAGAACCCAGTAGCAGCTGTTCTTTTTTGTTTTTATTTTTTAAGGTTTTATTGTGAGTTGAGTGAAAGTTTACAGGACATATCATCAGGTTTACATTCAGTAAATCATATAATCCCCTCCATGTACCATCCGTTAACAGTATTTCTCTCTATTCATTTTAGCTCTTTTTTTTTTTTTCAAAAAAAACACTCAGGCATATATAGTAATTTACACCACCAAAGAGCTCATTCTGTAAGTCTGCCTCCTGGCTGCCAGCTCTCAGTCCCTTTCTTCCCATGAATCTAGAGTCCTCAGCTGCTCCCTCTCTCCATGTCTATATCATTGCCTCCATCTCTGGCATTGCTGCTTCTCTGGATAAGGTCTCACATTCCGCTTCTGCTCTTCTCCCTTGATGGTCCTAGGGTCCTCTGTTTCTGGACTGTAAGATTAACTATTCCTCTGTTTTTGTTACAAAACTTCTACCATTACATTTGTGATAGTCACAATTAGTCATGATAACAGTTACTCACTATGGAATCTTAAGAATCTTATCCCCATCTCTTTTTACCAGACCTATCTAGCAAGATGAAAACTATTCAGTGGAGACTCTTATCTTTCCCCACACACTCTTAAACTAAACCCCTCTTGAAACCTTGTAAGCCAGTCACTTCATGCCTTTATCGCCCCCTTATTTTAGATAGCCTGTTCCTATCTACCCTGTATACAGAGGAGATAGCATTAATACTTGGTGTGTAGACTCCTTCCCTCTCTGTTGGTATTTAGAGCTACTACCTCCATGAATATAGGTCAAGTTCATCAAATTGTAGCAATTTACCCTTGTTTCCTTTATCAAAACTTGTTTTGTTCTTCTTCTTTTTTTTTAATCGTCCTCTAGTCAAGTTCTGATTATCAAGCCATTGAGGCTAGGTACTATCTGCAAGTTTGGGTGTACTTGTGAGTCTCCCCTCACTTCATATCCGCTGGATGCTTCAATCACAGCTCTTTGGACCAACTGTAGCTGTTCTTTTTGAAGCTCTTTTGTTTCCAGTGCACACTCTGCAATCCCTGTCCAGTTCTGACTTACTGGAGTGGGAACAATATTAAGCCTTCTTTAATTGTTTCATTTGCCTGTTTACTAGCTTCGTTCCTGGTGCCAAACAGCAAAGGAAAAATTATAGGACTTTATCATTAATGTGTTGTGAAAATCCAAGACAAAGGTGTTAAAATGAAACTATGATATATTTCCCAGATTGAAGTCTGACTATTTATAATTACTTATATTATTTATAACTGTTTATAATTACTGATATTATTTTCTCTAGCTGCTTCTTGGCCTTGCCTTTAGTTATGCAAAAATACTTTCTTTACAAAATAATTTTAATGGACATTTTGACCAAGATAGGTTATTATACATCAGGTGAATTGATCATGCCTTCTTTTTCTAGGCAGCGCAAATTGTGCTGATCTCTCTGTTTGAATTGAACACCCCTGAATTTACCATGTTACTTGGTGCCTTGCCAAAAACGTTCCAGGATGGTGCCACCAAACTCCTACAGAACCACCTCAAGAATTCTAGTAACACCAGTGTGGTGAGTGCTTTGTGTTACTGTTGGAGCTTCTGTGTTCAAACTATGGCCTTTGCTTATCTGTTGTCTAGAACCTACTCTAAGAAAATGTCCTATTTCCTTGTTTTTTTTCAGTAGATTGTGAGCTTTTCCTCAAGGATGGGGGCCATGCTTGTCCTTGCTGTATCCCTAGTCATGTCATAAGAATTTTATGAATGAATGAATGAGTGGTTTTTAAATGTGACCTTTTTCTTAGGTTGTTCAGTCCATTAGAATGTTATTTAATAGTTTATTGTAACACTGGAAAATACAAATATGTGATGATGTCTGACATTGTAGCATAACCAGTATGCCTGCATGACAGTTATACAGTTTTGCTTGATGAGCACTTGAAATTGTCCTTATTCTGGGGGGGTGGGGGGGTGAAGTATAGGTTCTACTTATTTGTTGACATGTAGATTAAAAGGGCAAAGGAAGAGTGGACTTCAAAAAATTTGTGGGGAAATGAAATAAAAAGATAGTGAAAATTTTCCACAAACTTTTTGAAACCTTTTTATATTCTATATATAGTACCTGAATAATAATAGTACTTAATCTTTGCTCAGGGCTCTCCAAGCAATACGATTGGTCGGACTCCCTCCAGACACACCAGCAGCAGGACCAGTCCCCTGACCTCACCCACCAATTGTTCCCATGGGGGACTATCTCCAAGGTAAAGTCATCTCAACAAAAGTGAAGAAAACTAAGGCACCCTAATGTCGGTCCAGTCTATTGTAAGTTTTAGGATCCAGTTTCATAGGCAGAAAGAGTGTTGGGTTTCAGGAGACCATGCCCACTGTCCTCACTCAAACCTTAATCTTGTGGTCTTAAGGCAAAGTGGTTACTAGCTCCTGTAGTAAAATGAGAAGTTCATGCTAAAAGTTCTCTGTGGCCCTTTCAGCTCTAAACATTCTCTGGTACCTCAGATTTTAGGTGTGGTGCTATACAATAAGCACTTGATCACAAGGTCAGTTTAAACTGCAGGGTTGGTGGTTCAGACTCACCAGCTGTTCCTTGGAAACCATAAACTGGGTTGGAACCGACTCAACAGACAGCACTTAACAACAATACTTACAGATTTTAAAACTACGGATGGTATTTAGTACTGCTTTACATAGAATCCATGGAGAAATCATGATCTGTTTCCTAACTGATTGGAGAACATGAAGGTCTTCCATGTTAGACCCTTAACAGTTAGTCCTTACCAAATCTGGATTCGTTTTCTAACCAAGCAGCCATTCCGTTCTTAGTTGGTATCATTATGAACTCATGTTTGAAACAGAGTACTGCTCTGAAAATTGGATTAGCGTTTTTAAACTTACATTGCTATCCTGTAAGTATTGACCTTACAGAACCTGTGCAGGGCTTTAGAGAAACCTCAATTCCTAGGGACCTTTAGGTGACATTTCTTCTGGTCAGAGCCTGTAGAAGTCCTTGAATGGTATTGTGGCTTTAATAGAGACCCTCTCACAAGTGCTGGAGTTAGTGTGGGCCAGCTCAGAGCAGAACCCTTATGGGCCCTGCCAGCCAGAACTGTGAGGAAAGAGGCAATATCTGAACCTGTCAAGGACATACACCTCTAGAGGATCACTAACATCAAAATATCAGGAGGCTTTTGTCCTCTGGGTTGCTTACATCAAGATCTTAGATTTAGAGGAAAATACTGTGAAATGTATCTTTTTTCCTTTTTTTTAAAGGATTGCCTCTGTAGTAGGAAGCTATCAAAACTTCAGTGCCTTTAAATTTAGATTTTTGAAGTTAACCAAATTCTGTCCTTACCAACTGAAGTTTTCTTTAATTTCTCATGTTGTTCTCTAAGTATTTTTGGAACATGTAAATTTGTATATTTTCTTGGTGAAGTAAAATCTTATATAAGCCTATTCCAAACCCCTCTGCCATCCAGTGTCTGTAGGACAGAGTAGCACTGCTCCCACAGCATTTCTAAGGCTGTACGCCTTCACGGAAGTGCATTTCCACATCTTTCTCCTGTGAAGTGCCCGGTCTGTTTGAGCCATCAATCTCTAGTTTTGCAGATGAGTGCTTTATCCAGTGTACCACTTGAGTGACTTTATATACCTGTTGTTGCTGTTAAGTGTTGTTGAATCAGTTCTAACTCATAGCAACTCTATAGAGAGTTTCCAAGGAGTGGCTGGTAGGTTTCAGCGGTTGACCTTGCAGTTCGCAGTCTAGTGCTTACCCTACAGTGCCTTCCCAGGACTCCAGTGGCACCTTGCTATTTAGATTGTGGTGACTCTGTAGGATAAGCACTGGACTGCGAATCACAAGTGTCGGTCGGTGCTTTGACCAGCCGCTCTACAGAGAAAGATCTCAGTTCCTGAAAAGATTTACAGCCTCGGAGACCCTATGAAGTGTTGAGTCAGAATTGATTCAGTGGTATTCAACAACAGCAACAATTTATATTGCCCTGTATTTAATCCCCCAAATGCCTCTGTGTTATATTGAGGTAGGATAGTTGTTGTTAAGTGCCGTCGAGTTGGCTTAACTAGTAGTGATCCTGTATAGGGTTTCCCAGGAGTGACTGGTGGGTTTGAACCACTGACCTTGTAGTTAGCATTCCAGTGCTTATCCTGCAGTGCCACACCAGGTTTTATAGAGTATGATATTAAATCTCCAAATTTGGTGTGTGTTGTCATGGTTTTAACAGGCTGTTATGATTATACAGTTGAGACCAGAAATTAAGGGAAATAATGTCAGACTTTCCCCAGATTATGACTGGGGTTCAGCCAACTGAAAATACTGACATCTATACTTATAGTATATGGTGTGTCTTAAATTATCAAGGTCCAGAATTGACAGTAAAATCATTATGTATTCTTTCCTTAGAGCATGACTTAAGGAAAGCTTTACTTGTCTTTGTCTAGAAGCAGTACTTCTGCAATATTAATTGGGAAATTTGTTCTTTCATAATAAACAGTTTATACTTTTATTTCATTATTAGGTAAGAGCATTCTTCAAGTCATAAGCAAAAGGGAAACCTCAAATTAAGTATTTCTTTATTATTTATGTTAGTAGACTTCAAGGTCGGTTTGAACAGCAGGGTCAGCAGTTCAAACCTCACCAGGCGCTCTTTGTAAACCCTATATAGGGTCAGTATGAGAGTCAGAATCGACTCAACAGCACTTAACAAAGTCTAAATAAAGGATTGGTGGAGGCCTCTAGCACAATCCATCAGACCTAAGAATCAGCTTGATATTAATCTTCATGTTGTTGTTAGGTGCTGTGATCTTCATGGACACCGCCCCCCCTCCCCCACCAAATCATTAAATTTTTAAATTTATTTTTCCAACTCACCATTTCTTCTAAATTGTCTTGGCCTCAGTTTTTACTACTAGGGCTGCTGGCCAGTGGAAGAAATGAAGAGACTTTATTTTGAATATGAAAAAGTCTAAGTTTACTCTCTATATTTATTCATGCACAGATCTTCTTTAAGAAATTATCTAGTTAGGTAGTTATTTTTTAAATATGCTCTCATTTGGTGCATTAATAGCCAGATGGTCTTAATCAACTTGAGCTCAACGGCAGAAATAATTTTTCTTACAACTAAAATTGCCCTCCATTGGGAAAAACTGCTTCATGTCATCATATCCCTAGACGTATTCAAATAGCTTACCTAGTTTCCATAAAAATATGGAAAAGAAATGAATTAATGCTCTAACTAGAAGAATGGGTAGGTTGCCATGTGCTAAGTGGATGATAAGCAAGTTCTAGAAGATGATGAGTACATACTATCTCAACTATTTTTCTGAGTAATGCTTTTGAAACTTGAGTTTCCTTTGATCTTATCATTCTTTTGAATGACCTTGACCACATATGAGGGAGCTCCAAAAGTTCATGGAAAAATGGAAATGAAAGATAGTAGAATTTTTAACTTTTTTAAGTCCCAGGGCATTGTTAGCTCGTCATAAGGAGAAAAGTTATCACCTATTATTTATTTTTCATCAAAATGAACTTTTATTTTAATCTAAAAATTCTACATTTAGATCATGGTGTTGTTGTTGTTGTTGTTGTTGTTGTTCTTAAGTGTTGACAAGTCAGTTCCAACTCATAGAAACTCTGTACAGAGTTTCAGAAGCTGTACATCTTTGAGGGAGCACAGAACCTCATCTTTCTCCCGAGGTCATGGTGATAATAAAAAAATACTGTAAAATGATTAACAAATCTAATTAGATGGTTTTATAGTTTCACTAGGCAAGAACTCATTTTTCTTAACCCACCCATATTAAACAAGCTGTGGATAACAGTTTCAACTTTAATAAAATATTCCATTAATTGTTGTTTCTGTGTGAGGGAAGAATTACTATTTGTTTGTTTTTCAGCTAATTAATAAATAATATCACTTAGTATTTTGAGGATTGATGACATGGGATTTATCATTACTAAGTCCTATTTCTGTTTTTGCTCATTTTCCCTAGTGTGCTTTTACCGTAAACGGAGACTAGAGTAGAGAAAGACAGCCGCAAGCAGGACTGCTGTGTGATGGCATGGTCTCGACCTCATGGCCTCACATCACGATTCCAACCAGTTTAGCTCCTTCTGGGTCCAGTTTCAAGCACACACATACAGTTGGAATCTCATGAGATTTTAAAAAACTGGATGCACCCTATGCTTAAGAGGGGAAAGAACAGAACAGTCTTATTTGAGGACCAGATTATAAATGAAATTTGTCCATTTTCTCTGTTTGGTGAAGTAGTGTATTTTACTTGGATTAATTTTCGTAGAACTTTTTCAAGGAAAGAGCAGCCACTAAGACACTTGGAATATGGTGTCTTTTTCCCTCTTCCCCCTCCCTTTTGCCTTTTCTGTTTCTCTTTCTGACTTTCCTCTTCTGATCACTACAGTCGGTTATGGGGTTGGAGTGCTGATGGGTTATCGAAGCACCCACCTCCCTTTTCTCAGCCTAATTCAATCCCCACCGCTCCCTCCCACAAGATTCTCAGGCGCTCTTACTCTCCCAGGTAACATGCTACCTGTTACACTTGTCTGAGATGTCACAATATTATTGCATTTTCAAGGTCGTCTCAGGTCTTTCGAAAAGCCTCTTAGCTGCCTCCGCCATGACCTGTTTGGCTTTAAGACTCTCAGGAGGAGAACCTTGGAGAGAAAGTGAGCAGGTTTCTGTTGAATTCCATCAAGTGTGACTTCTAACCATGTCAGAGCAACAGATGGCCCTTTCCTCTCCTGATCAAAATCCCCCCACTTCTGCTATTGGAAACCACTCAGCCCAGTGCATTGTTTCGGATGTGACAAATTGATTGGTTGACTCATGAAATCAAGGCAGGTGACAGTGACAACCACTCACTGAGCATTGTGTTTTCAGTGCGCAGAGCCTTCTCCTTGAAGAATGAAGCAAATGAGACCTACTCTTTCCCAACCCATCCATGTAACTCTCAGTCCTGTGCTTGATTCTTATATCATGTGGTGCCAAGGAGTACAGGTCCAGAAAAAGAACTCTCAGTGGTGTGTTCCTTTTTGCATCTCACTAAAGGCGTTCAGCCTCTAGTCAGGAGAGGCATCGGTATCTTTACTGGTCACCTACAGAGTGCTAAGGGAAGCTTACTGCTTGAATAACATTAAGCTGTGAATCTAGAAGGAGGAAGTGGGACTTTTCTTCAGCTGTCCTTTCCTCAGAAAGATGGTACATCTGTGGTACAAAATTGAGTCCATGTAGATACCCATATCTGTTTGAGGGCCTATTGAGTACTTTAGCTCCAAGTCCAAGACCCAGAGAACTCAAGCTTCTGTGAGCAGAGCCTGAGGAGTCCCACTCTCATTGTGCTTGGTAAGGCACGCGTGCATGCTCTAATGTTAGTGCTGCCAAGTCAGTCCTGACTCAGAGCGTCCCTAGAAAGGGTTTCTGAGGAGTGGCTGGTGAGGTTTGAACTGCTGACCCTGCTGTTTAAACCGATTTTGCGGTCCAGTGCATTATCCTCTAGCACCACACCAGGGCTGCATGCTCTGCTGCTGTTGTTGTTGTTAAGTACTGTAGAGTCTGTTCCGACCCATAGCAATCCTGTATAGGGTTTCCAAGGAGCGGCTGGTGAGCCTGAGCCTCCAACCTTGCAGTTCAAACTGATTTTGCCATCCAGTGCATTAACCCACAGTACCATACCAAGACAGGCTAAATGAAGTCTGTGACTTTGAAATGCTTCAAAGATAACTTGCCTAGGAGATTTGCATTTCACTTTTTTATTTCTTCAATTTAGCGAAACCATACTTGGTGAACAAGTCAGCTGAATATTCAGTAACATCTTTCTTTTGAAGCTGTTAAAAGCTCTAGAAGTTGTACAGAAAAACCTACAATGAATGTTACCACAAATAAAATTTTAGGGCTTGCAGACAATGAGGTGATTATCTTTAATGTTAATAAATCGTGTTATTAGCCTTTTGAAAAAAAGTTTAGTAGCGCCTCAGAAAATGAACTCAGTTTAACTGACTCCCGGTATATTGACTTTGTGCCCTTAAGGGAACACCAAGCTCACCCCAGCCAGTTTCCCCACCCAGTCAAGGCTGACCCTTCAGAGGCCATCCCGTTTCTAGAATCATTCTTCAAATGTGTTTATACTTTTATATTTGTTGATCTAATTCGACTGATAATGTTTAATACGTATGTGTAGCTTCTGTAAACCAGAGGAGGGAGAACTGAGTAGATACTCATAGTTTTAAAGTTACAAAAGCTATCAGTTCCATAAAATGAAAAGGAACTCCATGTTTGTCATTTGCACTGTGCCAAAATATTATTCACTTCAAAACAATCAATGATTACTCTGAACTTAGTGGTTTTTTCCCCTAAAGAAAAGAAGAGATCACAGAAGACATACTGCTACTCCAGTTTCTCTTCTCTGCACCCATGATACTGGGCCTTTGCCTGTGTTGGTGACATGACCTGACCTTCAGTCAGAGTATTTGCCAATTGATTAACTCCTCTTAATCTATTGAGTTTATCAACATATTTACCAGTGACCCCAGATGTGGCCTTTAACCCAGAAGATGATGTGTCCTGGGTTGTATCTCTGCTGTAACAAGACAGGTGAAATGTAGAAACTTATCCAATTGCATCTCTTCTAGGTAAAGCTGCCAAGGTCCCTCTCACCTACTCTTAGGACATGCTTGTCAGGACACTGTCCTCTACAGAATCTAGGGTGACAGCATTCTTGTGAATTCCCTACAAAATGAGGGTTATATAGGTGTTGATTCCAACAAAAGATAAATCGAGCCAAAGCATCAAGAGTAACAGTGTCTGTTTCCTGTTAGAGGAGACCAGCTATGCCTATCACCTGGAACTCACAGCTTTAGCTTCACACCAAAGAAACCCTCCAGCCCTCCAGCTAGGAATTCTGAAATAAATGTGGGCAAGCAAGACTGTGCTTGGTTGCACACATAGTGCTTCAAAACGGGAAGCTTGAGTTGATTGATTGATTGAAAGTAAGAAAGAGGAACAGTAATAAAGGCAGGGTCCTTCATTTTCTTATTTTAAAAAGAGGCAACTTAATGGTAAAATTATGCAAACCAAAATGAAATCTTTTAAGAATGTTCAGATTAGAACTAATGAGATGAATTTTCTGAATGCTGACATTTTCTGAAGCGACATATGGAAAATAATATTGTGACATCCAGTCAAAGGCTGAATATTCTGCCAGACTTCCTGGTGTTCATCCCATCATTCTTTCAGCTTGTTGTTTTTGGTTTTGCATGGGCTGTGCTTTTTTTTTTTTAAGTTATGATTTGAAGTATTTTAAGGCATTTTGTGTAACTTCATATATTTTCGTTTGAGCCATACTGTCTTTGTGCATAAACAGTAGTGTACTGGCCAGGTGTATAAATACCTTTGTTCATACATAAAGCTAGTATTGTGGGTGCTTTTGGAGAAGAGGGTCCGGGACCCCTTGCTCTTCAGTCATGCTTTCTTCACCGTGAGGGAGGGATATTGCTTCTGCTGAATTGCCTCATACCAGACAGTCTCATGAACTCAGAAAAGATTGAAATCTTGATTTGTGGTCAGATTCTTTGGTCTCCCACCTGTCAGTATATACATGGAATTTCAACTGGAAACATGTCCAAAGTTCCCATTTGTTTTCATTTGATACCAGAACCAGTCTTTGAATTAATTGGTGTGTGTTTTTTGTGAACTCTCAAGAGTATGGTTGGGGGTGTGTATTTCTTTTCTTTCATCAAGAAAGAAAAATGGGTTCTGTCTGGGCTGGCTTTGACATTTTTAGGCATATAGATTGCGAATGAGTTCAGATCTTATGTTCCAGCAGAACGTAACCCCCCTAGAATACACCTGAATCATTACAACCTCTAGCCAGTAGAAGTCTGAGTATATCAAGTGGTGTTGTTGTTAAGTGCCATTGAGTCAGTTCTAACTCGTAGCAATTTTGTTTAGGGTTTTCAAGGAGCAGCTGGTGGCTTTGAACCACCAGCCTTGTGATTAGCAGTCCAGTGCTGATCCGGTAGCACCACACCTGTCTGAATCTTGTCTTGCTAGCCTGTCAAACCTTAGAAGTGGGACAGAAGGGAAAGTATTGTGCTTCACATTTTTGCACTTTACAGATGGGGTTGTTTTTGGCTAATTGAAGGTTTGTGGCCACCTGCATCATGCAAACTGATGGGCACCATTTTTCCAACATCATGTGCTCACTTCATGTCCCTGGCACATTTTAAATAATTCTCACCATATTTCAAACTTTTTATAATGTTATTACAATAGACTACAGTATAATATAAACATAACTTTTGTATGCACTGGGAAACCAAAGAATTGGTGTGACTCACTTTGTTATGGTATTCACTTTATTGCAGTGGTCTGGAGACAAAGTCACAATATCCCCGAGGTATGCCTGTATTTGTTTTTAAGTACCAGGAAACTTATAGTTACTGCAGGTTTGATTGTATTGCCTCTAGGAAAGGGTTCCCGCCAATGCCAATGGACAGCTTCAGTATTTTCTCTTTTGAAAAACAGAGATTGCTTTTCTTTGCTTCTCAGTTATGTTGTATGCTTACATTATTCATAGTTAGGATTGCTAGCATGTCCTTAGAAGTCTACCCCACGTTCTGATCTTTGCTTTAAGTACTTTTCTTGAAGGTGGGTGGTATTTAAGCTCAGTTATGTTGTTTTGACTTACCCTTGGTTGGCTGTTGCTTCAGGCTTTATTTTTATTCTTTTCATTGGTGTGTCCATCCACTCTTTTCTTTGGGGTTCTCCATGAGGGACAGCAATAGCTATTTTGTTCTTAGGTTCTTCTCTCTGTTTTGGTGCGATTTTCATGCATGTCAATGCCGTTTATTGACACTGGGTTATACTAAAAAGCATCTTAAGATTTTTGCTTCATTTTGTGTTTTGTTTTGCTAAACATAGAAAAGGACAGCAATCCAGCATCACTTTTCCCTGAAGAATAAATACTTTCTGCTTGTTGAAATGTTTTCAGACATCCATCCAGAGGCATGATTCATCTTTGTATGATCTGCTTTTATTATAAAACTTCAGATGGAACCATCTAGAAGAGTTGAATATGTTAAGTACACATGCCTGGGTTAGCTGGCCTAGAGTTAGAAAACCATTGGTAGGGTGAATCTTACTGAGTCCTAGGGTTTTATCATACACATTTCTGCTACTAGTAAGCATAGTGTTGCTTACTAACGCAGTCTCTTAAGGTCTTTTGCTTTGTGCCTCTGAAATTTGTAATACTAGCTTTATTTTGAAGTGCCTTCTCTTCTTAATTTAAATTTGTACATTTGAGACCAGTAACAACCACACTACTTTTTTCCATCTTCCAGATTTGGAAGTTGTTTTTCCACTTTCATTACCTCATGCATTCAGTCACTGATTTTCACTCCTGAGTTCTTGCATTCTTGTGGTTACTGCTATTTCCCACTGGTTTCTTATTGATTGATGATATAATGTGTTTGGAACAGATTTTACTAGGAAGAATTGTCTGGTGGTGACGCACTAACAAAACATGTCTCCTTTTTGTTCTAAGTCACCTAAAGAAACAAAAGTATACATTTATTGTACTCTGTAAATTAGTAGAGGTAATTTATGCCCATACTGAAATTTAAGAAATAAAATATTTTTTATCTTAGCATGCTGGACTATGATACAGAGAACCTGAACTCTGAAGAAATCTATAGTTCTCTGCGTGGAGTTACAGAAGCCATTGAAAAGTTTAGTTTTCGGAGCCAAGAAGATCTGAATGAACCCATTAAACGAGATGGAAAAAAGGACTGTGATATTGTAAGTATCCTTAGGCTAACTGTATATCAATCAAATTTTGATTATGGGTTATTTTAAACACTGACTTATTATGATCACTGATTCCTGAGTTTCATCATCTTTATCCTATAGTCAGAATAAATATTGCCATATTTTCACGTAAGTAACACACTCATTAAGTGTTGTTCCACACCGTGCAGCCCCATCTTGCATTCATTGTCTGTGTGCACTATTAAGCATTGTATATGCACGTGTACAGTATTTACATGGGTACGTTATATACGAAAATATGCTCGTTTTCAGAGGCCCAAGGCTGTGAACCTTAAGGTCAACAGTTCAAAACTACCAGCTGTTCTGCGGGAGAAAGATGAGGCTTTCTGCTCCCGTAAAGATTTACAGCCTCGGATACCCTGTAGAGGGTCGCTATGGGTCAGAATCGACTCTACAGCGCTTAACAACAGCAACAACAAAGGCAATTTTACAAAATTTTTAAAGCATGAATGAGCTTTCTTAAGTATTTTTTCCTCTGTTTTCATTTTTTTTTTATAATGTGAGAAAACGGTGAACCTGAGACAGCCATCACTCGCTAGGAACTATCTGGTGGGAGAGGTCAGTAAACCAACGTGCAGTTGTGGGGTGCAGTGGGTGTGGTTGGGCCCAGGTGGCCATAGATATGTGCTTCTGTGGCTACTAGGACACCTCTGCTAGCCACCCAGGACACGCAGGAAGAATCCAGAAGAGTTGACTTGACTCCTGAACCTTGAGAATTGTCTCTCCATGTGTTGATATTGCCTTGGGAACGCTGAAGAGTCTTGGCAAAGTTTAAATTTTAAAGCAGGGAAGTGGCATGGCCACACTTACTGTTTAGAAAGATTGCTGTTGCTATGGGTTAGAGAATGATTCTGGACAATATGGGGCGGGACATGGTGTGAGCAGACAACTCGCTGACCAGAACAATGATGTGATTCCATAAGAGAATTACCATAGAAGGAGAAAAAAGGGCATGGTAACTCGTTTGAAATGGAATTCCATTTTGAGCTTGTGCAATGTTTATAGGACCTGTAGAATATCCAAGCAACTATATATCCATTAGATGTGGAGTTTGGGCCAGTGATTTGGATTGTGGATAGAAATGTGCGAGTCACAGCCTCATGTTCTATTAGTACCTGAAGAGGAGTAAGTGAGACCAGCCAGGCGAAGGGGAAGAAAGAGCAGAAGCCTCGGGAGTGTCAACACCGCTGGGAAGACAGAAGAAAAGGAGTAGGAAGAAAAGTGAAAGACGATAAAGGGGAAACCAGGATAGTGTAGTGTCAGAGAAGTTAGAGAGAAATAATATTTCAAGAAGGACAGTATAGCCAGAGGGACCGTGCTGTAGCGAGGTAGCAGGTGAGAGAGAAAGTAGAAAGGGATCCATTGGATGTTTTTGTACTATCCACATTGAGTTATCTATTTGTATCTAAACTGTGTAAAATACACATTTCTTGGCCAGTGTTTTGATGCAGCGCCAACTTCTTTCCATTGAGAATGGGCCCACTGTTTGGATTTCCACAGTTTTCTTCTTAAACTTCATGCATAGTCACTGTCAGTAGTCTTCAAGTGTATTTCTTCCTGTGGACTACTGGATTTTGTGACAGGAGTTCAGTGGAGAGTAGAAAAAGGAAGTCAGGTCAGAATAGCTTGAGGAGTGACTCAAGTGAGAAACTGAGGGTAGATGAGAGAGACCTAAACCTGTTTAAATGCCAGTGAGAACCAGTTGAAAGAAAATGTTGAGTATGTGATAGGGATATGGGAAGAGTCCTTAGGCATGTGGGAATGGATGAGATTTGGGTACAGGTATAGTGACTGACCTTAGTCAGGGTAGGTTTGAGGACAGAGAATTGAGGGAGTTCCCATTGACAATACCTGCTTTTTTACTCTGGGCAGCGGCAGAAGGAATGATGTTCAAAAGACTGAGGTTTGGTTTTGGTGGAGAGAGTGGGAACAGTATCAGAAGCCGCCGTAGAGAATGGGGAATCTGACTCGGGAAACACATGTGTTGCCAGAAAGAGTGAAGACCCCAGGCAAAGTTAGACACATGTTGTTGTTAGGTGTCATCAAGTCATTTCCGACCCATAAAAACGTGCATGCACAGTAGAACTCCCGGTCCTTCCCCATCCTCACAGTTGATGCGATGCTTGAGCCCATTGCCATTGTGCCAGTCCATCGCATTGCGGGGGTCTCCCTTTTTTATGCCTACCCTCCATAATGTCCGTCTGAAGGGACTGGTCCCTCCTGATTATATGCCCTAAGTATAAGAGATGAAGTCTGGTTATCTTGACTTCTAAGGAGCATTCTGGTTATACTTCTTCCAACACAGATTTGTGTGTTCTTCTGGCAGCCAATGGTACCTTTAAAAATTTTCCCCAACCCCCAAAACTCAAATTCTTCTACAGTTTTCCTCATTCATTGTCCAACTTTCACGTGCATATTGAAAATGCCATGGTCTTTGATCTTCATCAGTAAGTATTTTAAGTCCTCTTCACTTTCAGCAAGCAAAGTTGTATCCTCTAAATATCACAGGTTGTTCATGAGTCTTCTTCCAGTCCTCATGCCATGTTCTTCTTCATATAATCCATCTTGTCAGATTATTTGCTTAGCATGCAGATTTAACTAAGTGTGGCGAAAGGATACAACCCTGGCGCATACCTTTCCCAATTATAAACTATTCAGTATCCCCTTGTTCTATTCGAATGATTGCCTCTTGGTCTATGTACAGATTCCTCGTGAGCACAGTTTAAGTGTTCTGGAGTCCTCATTTGCTGTAATGTTATCCGTAGCCTGTCGTGAGCCACACAGTCAAACACCTTTGCATTGTCAATAAAGCACAGGTAAACATCTTTCTGGGATCCTCTGCTATTAGCCAAGATTCATTGAACGCCAGCAATTATATCCCTTGTTCTGCGTCCTCATCTGAATCCAGCTCTGCAAGTTCCCTGTCAGTGTACTTTTACAGCAGTTTTTGAATTATCCTTAGCACTATTTTGCTTGCATGTGATGTTAATACTGTCTGATGATTTCCACGTTCTGTTGGGTCAGCTCTCTTTGAAATGGACACAAGTATGGACCTTTTCCAATCGGTTGACCAGGTAGCTGTCTTCCAAATTTCTTGGCATGGATGAATGAGTGCCTCCAGTACTGCATCACTTTGTTGCAAGATTTCAAGTTGTATTTCATTAATTCCCAGAGCCTTGCACAAAGCCTTCACAGAGTATAGGACCTTAGGTGGAATCCTGAGTCCCATCCACAACCTTGTGAGATGAGACATTCCCACTAGAAAGGACAAGCAGACTGGAACAGCTACAGTGACAGAAGATACAT